TACAACGAGCAATACGAGGGCATTAGCGAGGGCATTAGCGAGCCCTTAGGTTTAAGTCGGGACTGACCACTGTTTAAGAAGAAGTGTTGCAGTAGAAGGGAGGCGATAGGCTTGACTAGAGATTAACATAAGTGGGTTCTTGCTGAGGCGAGGAGGTATTGGAGGCAGTGTTGGTGTTTGGCGGGGCAGTGGTCGCCCCAACCGTTCCTCCACCACCTCCAGCCCCGACCCCGGCCCCCGCGCTACTTCCCACACCATGATGGATTATACTCGCGTGGATGCCCATCCCCGCTCCATGCTCCACTGGGCTGCCAAAACCAACCACCAGCCATTAAAGGGGCGCTCGCATCGAACATCGTCACTTAATCCCACCTTCTTAAGATTAACTACACCGTATCGTCGTCACCCACACGCATCATCCTTTTTTTTTTACTTTTCTTTTTTCTCCTCTTTTTTTGTTTTTTCATTTTTTTTTTTTCACTTTTTTTCCTTTTTTTCATTTTCTATTTCTCTTTTCCACTTTTTTTTCTTTTTTTTTTTATCTTTTGAATTTTTTCTTCAACACCTTCCTTTTTAATTCTTAATTCTTCATTTGTTTATTAACTTTATTATTATTATTTTTCTTTATTTATTTATTTTTTTTTTTATTATCCTTCCTTATACATACGTACTTTTTCTTATTTATTTTTATTTTTACACACGTAGTATATACTTTTATTTTATTTCATTTTGTTTTCTTTCTTTTTTTTTTTTTATATATTCATAAGAATTCATTATTCCATTCACTTTTGGAAAACCATTTTTTTTTGTTTGTTTGTTTGTTTGTTTGATTAACGATTGCCAAGCGACGAGGCCGGCAACGACGATGTTTGCTGTATTTATGTCTTTCATGTTTCTTTGTTGTATGATACTGTATAAAAATGTTTTTAAATCGTTGTCGTTGCCAACCTCGTTTGGAATAAATTATTTGAGAGTATCAAAAGAAAATACGTAAGTGTACGATGGGAGTCCGGAATCTATTATTATTAATAAATAATAATAGTAATAATAATAATAATAATAATAATAATAATAATAATAATAATAATAATAATAATAATAATAATAATAATAATAATAATAATAATAATAAAAATAATTATGATAATAATAATAATAATAATAAAAATAATTATGATAATAATAATAATAATAATAATAATAATAATAATAATAATAATAATAATAATAATGTGTGTGTGGTAATAATAATGTATTTTTTATTTACCGACGATGAACGCGATTGAATGACTGATTGATTGATTGATTGATTCTTTGATTGATTGATTGACTGATTATTGATTGCTTGTTTTTATTTTTATCCTCGTTCGTACTAATCAGAAAATATGTCTCCCAAATGTGCCCGTCGTTAACGCGATTCCCATATATTATTATTATTTTCAGAGCTGCCACTAAATAAGATCTTTATGCGTTTCTTATATTTTCTTTTTTTTTATTTTGTCTTATCTTTTCTTCCTTCACGTGTATACGTAGAAAAATATATTCTTCTTTCTTTACGTTTGTTTTTCTATTTTATTTCATATATATATATATATTTTTCTTTTATTTTATTTCTTTTTTTGTTTTTTTTTTTTGTTTTTTATTTTTTATCTCGAAGAAAACTCTATTACAATCTCGAACCCGAAAGATGTTAAAATATCAATAATGATTAATCGATTATTTCGCTAACAATACGAGAGAGAGAAAAAAAAAAAAAAAAGACCGTGACTTTAATATCTTAAATCGTTCTCTTTATATTCTCGACAGCTCGAAAACGCCGATGGGATTCGTTTTCGCCCCTTTAATGACGTCCAGGACAATTCACAAGCCCAGCCGGGAGTAGAGGGGCGTTTTTGGGCGCACTACACGGGTGCAGCGGTATATATGTTTACGGCGGTTAGTGGCGCTAAAACGGGTGGTGATGGCTCGTGATTACCGATAGAAACTACAGTGTGGTTCTAGAAGAGATATTTACAAGCAAAGTACAGTAGAATATTGTTTGCCGTCCCTATCGATCGCCGGGATAAAACGTATTGTATATATATATATATATATATATATATGTATATATATATATATATGTATATATATATATATATATATCTACATATATAAATGTGTATATATATATATATATATATATATATATGTATATATACGTGTATACATTGAGTATATGTATATATTAGAGAGAAATTCCGTTCGTTTTTTTCCTTTTTTTTGAGTTTATATTTTACGTTCTCTTTTATTTATTTATTTTTTTAATATTGTTATTATTGGTTTTTTTTTGTTGTTTATTTGTTTTTGTTTTCTTTCTTTCTTTCTTTCTTTCTTTCTTTCTTTTTTTTTTGTTTTTTTTTTTTTGTTAATCTTTTGGAAGACACATTTTCTGACTATTCCGCAGCTTTTTTTCTGCATACGATTTTACGTATTAATTTGTGAATACTTTCTTTTTCTTTTTTTGAAATTTGTGAATTATTTTCTTTTACCTTTCTATCATTTTTTTTCTTTTTCTTTTTTAATATCTGCCTGTTTCATTCGATATATATATATATATATATTTTTTTTTTTATATAGTTTTTTCTTTATCTTCTTTCTTTTCTTTTCTTCTAGTTTTTCTTTTTTTTTTGTCTTTTTTTTTTTTTTTAACGACGCGAGACGAGAAAAGATCTTCCTTCGTCCGAGGATACAACGTTCATTCGTGATAGGAGCGTGGGTTCAACGTATATAAAAAGTAATTATATACTCGCTCTAGCTTTTCGTATTCTGTTTTTTCTTCCTTTTCTTTTTTTTTCTTTTTTGTTCATTTTATTCTTTTCTTTTTATTTATTTTTTATTTCACCTTCTTTCACCTTATTTTCTTTTTTTTTTTTTTTTTTTTGTAATCTCCTTCTCGTTTTTGACTCTCTTCTTCTTTTTTTTTTTTTTTTTTGTAATCTCCTTCTCGTTTTTGACTCTCTTCTTCTTTTTTCTGTGTTTCTTTTCTTTCTTTCTTTCTTTCTTTCTCTTTTTGTTTTGTTTTGTTTTATTTTGTTTTGTTTTACTTTCAAGTTCCACGATAACATGTGGATGACGGAACGGAGTTTAAGACGATAAGAATAAGAAAGTAATATATATATACATGTCGAGAGAACGCTAAGATCCTCCCCCACCCCTAGCCCTCTGTTGCGCGCGATTCTCGAAAGAAACTCTTTGTTAAAGAATTAATAATATACGAGATAATTTATTTATTTTATTAATTTATTTATCTACTTATTATTATTATTATTTTCTTTTTCTTTTCTCTTCTTTTCTTTCGTTTTTTTTTCTTTTTCTTTTTTTTTTTTTGTTTCGTTCGACGAGCGTACCAAAGACGACGTTATAACGTTGGTGTATGTTCGTTGATAATGAATATAAAAAAGGAAAGTAGATATAAATAGAATTATTCCAATCGAAATTCGATTAATAATAATAATAATAATAATAATAATAATAATAATAATAATAATGTATAATTTTATAACGAAGATACCCCGTAATTTTATTTACACCCTCGTCTTTGTTATCACTCATATTCGCAAAAGAAGAAATTAAGAAGTTAAACAATTATTTACAAAGAATTGAACTATCATGTATGTATATGCGTTCTTTTTTCTTTTTTTTTTTTCAAACAAAATAATAATCGGACTCCGCTATTTCTCTTCCCACCACCCACCCCAGCCCGATATAACGTAACGAACGAAAGTAAAAAAAAAAAAAAAAAAAAAATAAAGGAAGAATAAAAACGAGACAGGGTTTGAAAGATGAGGTCTGTTAACGTACCTGCATGGTTTGCACCATTGGCTCTGTTGGTCTAATCCGTACCTTGCACGGCATTTTTTCATATTGTTACCTATAAAAGAGTATGAAAAGAAAAAAAATTCACATTAGTAAAGACAATTTCTATTGGTGCTTATGGCGTGTCTTCGCGTAAATACGTCCTAAATTTATTCTATCATTATTATATTCGTTCTTAACAAAGCCCGGCGCGTAACTTTGGATATTCAAATTATTTCTTTTGTATTCTTTTTTCTTTTTTTTTTTTTCCTTTCTTTTTTTCTTCTTTTTTCTTTTTTTTTCTTTTTCTACGTTATATGCAAGGAGAAATTTTGTTTCAACGCGATCAGATAGATCAATATATATGAAAATGAGAAATAGATCGTAGAGATTTCTTTCCGAAAAGAAATTTTTTCTTATTATTATTATTATTATTATTATTATTATTATTATTATTATTATTATTATTATTATTATTTTGTTTCTTTTTTTTTTTCAACGTTAAAAACGATTCGATAAAAGTAAAGAAAAAAAAAAAAGAGAAAAGGAACGTTCAAACCAATAAGCACCGCGTTGTTACGATATATGAAAGTGAATTAATTAAACTAAGTCATGCGCGCGTCATAGAACGATTAAGGAATAAATTTTATGGAATATTATATCTTCGACGGGACCTTCCTAGAAGAGACGAACAGAAAATTTTTGTATGATCAAATAATTAATATAATTTTGAATGAAAATAGAAACTATATATATAAATATATATATATATATATATATATATATATATATATATATTATTTCCATACGACTTATAAAGACGATCGTCGTTCTCGAACAAAATATCTTTTAGTTTTATTTCTTTTCCTTTATTCTTTCTTTTTTTTTTTTATTTTCTTCAATATAATTATTCTTTTATTATATAATTATTTCTTATTTTTTAATTTGAATCTTTTTCGTTTTTTTCTTTTCAAAAAATTCTTCGTCGCCTTTGGGGAAGGATCCGTCATATCGACACAAAAAGAAAAAAAGAGATTCTTTCAAGCGAGTAAGTAAAACATGCAGAGCATAGAACATACTATATATACGTTAACGACGCAAGAAAAACGATCTAAGATGATCCATAGTCTTGTTGTCGTGATTATATTTGTTGTTTCTTTATACCG